TATTTCAGTTGTTTTTAGTATCTGTTTATTCTTGGTAGTTTGTTAGCTTTTCCCCCAAGCAGTGAGGACACTGTTTCCTTTAAGTTTGGGAGTGGTTGACAGACTTGTGTAGATTTGTGTTTAATGCCCGTTGTTTGAGTCTGTTGTTTAGTAGCATATGTTGTTTTCTAAAAACAAAAACAAACAAAAAAAACAAAAAAGAATAAATGCTTTGGTCTTGCTGCAGTTGTGTTGGTTTAAGGATATTCAATGAAAAATGCAGTGTGTCAAAAGTTTCAGCTTGTATAACAATTTGGCAAGAATTAAATCTTGGTGATATCTGTGGTTAAGTAGCTCCATGAATGTTATCGTGTGAAATTTAGCACGTTAGATCATAGCACAGTTGTCCAGTGGAAAGCCTAGGAAGTTTTGAGTCATTATGAGAGCTTAAGGTCATAGAACTGATTGTGTGATGTCGTTGAAGTTAAGTTCAGGGGGGGCCAAACGTTTAGGGTAAATCAATGTTGAAAAGGGTGGAAGTGTATTTGCTATAAAAAAAAAAAATCTATACTCCACTATTCCGAGCTGCCTAATAACCAGGAGTAACATGAGCCCCATGTGTACTTTTACGTCAAACAGCAGTTCGGGATATGAGTGTGCTAAAAGCAAATCTGGCTTGTGACGTTGTTGAGTAACCGGGTGCCTTCATCACCAATGTTGGCATTCGCGTAAAAAGGCAGCAGGGAAAAAAAAAAAAAAAAAAAAGAGTTCAAAAAGGGTTATATGTATGCACCCACCTAGTGCCCTTAGAGGTAGACTACGGGTTGAATAAAGCTTTAGGCGTTTGGTTCTCTAGAGCACCAGGAGAGGGGTCAAGCAATCAGCTTATTAGACCAAAAGCTAGGCTCAAGGATCGTGATTCAAGCAACCTAGGTGAAACAAGGATCGTTAGCTATGGTCCCACACACTCACTATTAGAGGAATGTCATTTGTGGAGTGGGCAGAATGGCAGATTGATCTGAGATTGGATGAAGAGTCGGTTGGAAATGAGCTGGGACTCTAGAGGCATTGTTGGAGAATGGAGAATCAACTTGCTCAGCAGCCAAAGCAGAAATTTGTGTTATTTTGTGTTTAGATATCGTGTTTTGTTGTTTTGTTTTGTGTTGTTAGGCATTACTCGAGGTCGAGCAATGACTTAAGTTTGGGGGTGTGATAACTCACAGAAA